ATAACTGTCACATTAATATTGAAGTCTGTGCTTCAATACATATAGTCAAATATATTTATAAGTATATCTACAAGAGTTATGATCAGGTGACAATGCAATTTGAACATGAATTTGATGAGATTAAGCAGTATATTAATGCAAAATATATTGGTATGTCTGAAGCTACATGGCATCTCTTCAGAATAAATATGCATGAGGAATTACCAAATGTTGTAAGACTGGCATTACATCTTCCTGGAATGCATTTAGTTGTCTTCAATCCTGCTGATAATGTATCCATTGTTCTTGTCTATGCAACTATCAAAAAACAATACTTACTGCTTTTTTTGAAACATGCGTGACTCTTGAATTTGCTCGGCAGTACACTTATCAGGAATTTTCACAATATTTTATTTGGAATAAATCAATTAAAAAGTGGACACCTCGAAAACAAGGGTTTGCAATTGGGAGATTATACTTTGCTGATTTTTCTGCAAGAAAACGTTTTTATCTTTGACTCTTCCTTACTATTATACATGGTCCACAGTCCTTTAATCATCTAAAAACTGTTAACAATTTTATTCATCCAATATTTAAATCTGCATATTTAGCCCTGGGACTATTAGAAAATGACAAAGAGTGGAATTAGTGTCTTGAAGAAGCTGCTATCTTGCACAGTGGTTCCCAATTGAGAGCACTTTTCATTATTATACTTACTCAATACACTTCTGCCTATCCAAAAGAGTTATGGCTATATTTTCGCATTAATATTTGTGATAATCTTCAGTATCGATTATGCAAAAAGCATACTATTGATAAGCCTACTGATGAACAAATATTTGACTTTGGACTCTTCCTTCTAGATGAGTTGCTTTATCAGTCTAATCAGTCTTTTAGCATGTTTTTATCAATATCTCTTTGGATGCACAATTGGGAAGATTATAATGGAAACTATATTATTGTAGAACAATTAGCATATAATTATCAAGAACCCCAAGATATTGTTAATAGTTGTATTTTATAACTAAATAATAAGCAAGCAGCAGCATACTATAATATTATTAACTCAGTAACTAAACAACTTGGTAAATTATTTTTTCTTAATGGTTCTGCAGGAACTGGCAAAACAGTTTTGTACAATACTCTTGCAATGAAAATTTGAAGTTAAGTAAAAAGTGTTCTCTG